GTGGGGTGTGTGTGGGGTGTGTGTGTGTTGTATGGTGTGTGTGGGGTGTGGGGTGTGTGTGGGGTGTGTGTGTGTGTGATGTGTTCCGTGTGTATGTTGTGTTATGTGTGTATGTTGGGTGTTGTGTTGTGCGTGTTGGGGCCGACTTGACAACAACTGGATCTATACACACACAGTGAAAACTGTGAGAGCTGGAGCTCCTCGTTTCTCCAGGTCTCACAAGTTTTCCACCTTTGACGGGTGGAGTCTTACGGAAATCCTAACTACAGAAAATATTGCTCTGTATGAGGGGAAGATACTGGTGTTTTCCTTCTCTGATAGGCTTCCACCTTACACAGGTTCCGGCTTTTGCAGGTCTGACTGCACGTGTCTTTAATTTACTGAAGATGCTGTGCAGAATCAGGGCTGTGAGTGTCAGAGTGCCACGTACCCTCAGGCTCAAGAGCTGAGATTTCATCTGGGCCAGCTTCACCAACGGACGAGCCCCTCCAGTCCCCAGGCCGAGTGGGGCGCCGGGCCGTGGGGGACAGTCCCCGGGCTGAGTGGGGTGCCGGGCCGTGGGGGAGAGTCCCCGGGCCGAGTGGGGCGCCGGGCCGTGGGGGACACTTCTGGCCCTGGGCTAGGCGCCTCCAAGCTGGGCCCGGTCTCCCTTTTCTGGAATACCTCCAGCGCTGGGCACCACTGCCCGGCCCACAGCTCCTGTTTCGGGGGAGCTCGCAGTAGCTTTTTCTCCTGTCAAGCTATGATCGGCCTTCCTCTAACTTTCGCCCTTGTTCTGGCATTTGCAGCCACTCAGCATAGATCCCCGTTCCTTCCCCCGTGACCTCTCCACCGTTACTTGAAGACAGCTAGCGTGTCCCCATTCCTTCTAGCCATCCGAAACCCGACTGCTTAGTAACTTTTCACATAGGCTGGGCGAATTCCAGATTTCCCCACAAACACGAAACATCTGGTGTCTGGTTCTTAGTTCATACGACCAAAAAACAAACAAAAAAAACACCAAACCAGTTGCCCTCAAGTCAATTCTGACTCGTAGCGACCCTATTGGACAGTAGAACTGCCTCATAGTGTTTCCAAGGAGCAGCTGGTGGATTCAAACTGCCGACCTTTTGGTTAGCAGCCTGAGCTCTTAACCACTGCACCACCAGGGCTCCAGTTCACCTGACACATCATATTAAATGAGGTGTTCTTGATACGTCTGTTATCTTATGAAAAACTCCCGAAACTTGCTTGAAAATCAGTCAGATTGTGGCTGTAGCTCTTCTTGTTCATCTGAATTTGCATTTAGAAGTGTGTTGTGTGAGGGACTTACACGGAGTGTTTGAAGCTTCGGTTCCCTCACCCGACTCCTTCAGCTATACTCTAAACAGGACTAGGAGCTCCCCAGTGGTGCAAATGGCTCACCCGCTCGGCTGCTAACTGAACGGTTGGAGGTTCAAGTCCACCTTGGAAGAAAGGCCTGGTGACCTACTTCCGAAAAATCAGCCACTGAAAACCCTACGGAGTGCAGTTCTCCTCTGACACACGTGGGATCCCCGTGAGTCGGCACTGACCCGACGGATTTAAGCGCGAGTAGACGGAAACGCCTTCATAACACATGGTTTCTAGAAGGTTACAAGCTGCGGCCCTTGTCTGTCTGCAGGCTACCTGAACGTGCTGTCAAACAGCCGCTGGCGGGAGCGCTGGTGCCGAGTGAGAGACAATAAGCTCATCCTGCACAAGGACCGGACAGACCTGAAGACCCATATTGCCTCCATCCCTCTCCGCGGCTGTGAGGTCATCCCAGGGCTGGATCCCAAGCACCCCCTCACCTTCCGGCTGCTTCGCAATGGGCAAGAGGTGGCTGTATTAGAGGTACGGTGTGTTCCAGAGTGTTCCAGGGTGTCCCAGTGTGTTCTGGAGTGTTCCAGAGTGTTCTGGGGTGTTCCAGTGTATTCTGGAGTGTTCCAGTGTGTTCCGGTGTGTTCTGGAGAGTTCCAGGGTGTTCTGGGGTGTTCCGGAGTGTCCCGGGGGTACACACACATTAACTTTCCCTCTAAAAGCTCAATTCGGATCGCGTATCAGAGTGCCGTAGATTTGCTGCTGATTCGATTCCTTTTCTCTCGTTTCTCTTTTTGCTTTTCTTCTGTTGATCCCTCTGTGTGAGAGGCTTTGACCTGGCAAACAGCACCGCGCCAGTTTTAACTACATCGCACGCGGAAGATATGTTTGCCAAATTACCTCCTTGTTTTACTCCCTCTGTACACACTGTTCGCATGGGAATTAAAGGCGCAGTCCCATACGTTGCTGTTAGTGGCCGGCGAGTCAGCCCCGATGCGTGACGACCTCACGGACCACAACAGAACGAAACGTTGTGCGGTCCTGCACCATCTTCGTGGACACTGGTAATTTCAGTCCATTGTCATAGCCACTGCGTCAGTCCTCCTCATGGGGGTTCCCCTGTTTTCGCTGGCCCTCCACTTTACCAACCACGTTATCCTTCCTGATGATGGGTCCAAAGTAAGTGAGATGAAGCCTCGCCATCCTCGTTTCTAAGGAGGATTCTGGTTGTATTTCTCCTAAGCCTGGTCTGTTTGTTCTCTTGGCAGTCCATGGTATATTCAGTATTCTCCACCAGCAACCACAGTTGGAATGCATCCGAATCCTGTCTTCCTTTTTCGTTGTCCCGCTTTTGTAAAAAACAAAAGAAACAAACCATAGATCACAATTCCATAGAGTGAGCTGCTTTTCAAAAGCGGCCAGAAAATCTTATTTCAAAATTTGCGGTAGAACTTGGCTTTTCCCCCGTCATTACTTACGGTCTACCTGGGAGTGGGTGTTCCTCCAGCTCCTCCGTGGAATGTTGCTGACTTCCTTACAGCTGGATCAGGCGTCTTTGGCTAGCTCGTTGCATTACAGACAGTGACTGGTGAGCCAAGCTCCACAGATGCCAAAAGGACATCCTGGGTTTCTAAGAACCCTTGAGTGTATTGGCATTTTAGTATTTGCCTGGTTGCTATTTCAGAACTTCGTGTTCTGTAAAGCAGAGAAAGCAACTACACCTAATGCCTTAGCTACATCCTGAAGCCTTCTTGAGCTAGAATTTTTTATTTTATTTTTTGCCTTGTTATGTAGTAAATTTATATTCTATTCCATAGTGAGTCAGACCTCTGGGGGCCTTTCGAATGTCCCAAAAAATAGCACGCACAAGGCAGTGCAGCGACCACAGACCATCCTTAGGCCTGTGGGATCACAGCCGACAGAAGAGTAAGGTGGTTATGTTAGACCATCTCACCAAGAGAAACAAAATGACCATTTCAAGCCAGTTTAGGGACCCTCGACAAGGGCTGCAGGTCCCCAAATCTTGTGACCAACAGGGGCCGGGGGGCTTGGCTACCCAAGTTAAGCCAGCAACAGGCATAGGGGCGCCTCCTCATGGCCAAGGTCTGTTGCCAAACTGGCGAGGCTTTCTAACAACTGGAGGCCCGAGGGGGTGCAAACGGGTAAGCCCTCGGCTGCTAACCAAAAGGTTGGAGGTTCAAGGCCACCCAGAGGCACCTCAGAAGAAAGCCCTGGTGATCTTCTTCTCAAAAACCATCCATTGAGAACCCTGTGGAGCACAATTCTACTCTGCCACACACAGGGTCGCCGTGAGTTGGGGCCAACTCAATGACGACTGGTTACTTCTCTTCCTAAACAACGTTCTTGAGCTAGGACCCTGCTAATCACATTGGTTTACATGTCTGACACTGTAGTGCCTGTCCCCAAAGATGACCCTTTTCTTACACAATTCCAGGGCATTTTAGGACCTCAGGCTTTGATTTCCTGTTTGTCTTCATGTCTCGTCATCTTTGCTGTTATGTGATCTCTTTACTGACATACCCGTGAAATTGTTTTTACACTCTTGAGCTTTTTTTATTGTACTTTAGGTGAAACTTTACAGAGCCAAATTAGTTTCTTAGTCAACAACTCACACACAAATTGTTTGGTGACATTGGTTGCAATCCCCACAACGTATCAACCCTCTCCTCTTCCACACCCCAATTTCCTGTTTCCATCCATCCGTTTTTCCTGTCCCTTCCTGTCTTCTCGTCTTTGCTTTTGGGCAGGTGTTGCCCTTTTGGCCTCATGTACATCCTGGAACTGAGAAGCACTTTCTTCACGGGTGGTATTGTTTATTTTATAGGCCTGTCTAATCTTTGGCCCAGGGTGAATGTTGGGAGTGGCTTCAGTTCTGAGTTAAAAGGGTGTCCGGGGACCATAGTCTCAGGGGTGAAATGCTTTATCTTTCATAAAACAAAATGTACTTTTTTATTGTTACAAGAATGCAGATAACATATTTGCCAGTTCAGCTTTTTTTCACTTGTACAGTTCACGGAAACCAATTACAGCAAATATGTTGTGTGACCATTGCCTTCACCTGCTGCCAATTTTTCCGTTCACCGTAAATCAAAATGCGCTTTTGTTCCCCACTCAACAGGCCTCATCCTCTGAAGACATGGGTAGGTGGGTGGGGATCCTGCTGGCTGAGACGGGCTCGTCCACGCAGCCCGAGGCCCTGCACTATGATTACATAGATGTGGAGACATCAGCCAACGTCATCCAGACGGCCAAGCAGACCTTCTGGTGAGGCGAAGGGCCTGGGAGACGGCCCTTGAGGTTACATGTTGATTTATTTCCCCTCATTTTAACCTTTACTTTCTGTGTGACTGTATGGCTTAGAAAAAACAGACAAACAAGCTGAAGATTTTCGCTTTTGAATTCTCTTAAGCCAAACTTGGCTGAAAAATTGTTGTCAGTTTTACCTTGGTGTCTTCTTTTAAAGCAGGGCTGGCAGACTTCTGACAGTGTTTGTTACCTTTCAAATGTGCCTTAGTCTCCTGGGGCAGCTGTAACAAAGTCCCACAAACTGGGTGACTTATAAGAACAAGAATGTATTCTCTCACAGCCCTGCAGGCTGGAGGTCCGAGATCAGGGTGTCAGCCGTGTTGCCTCCTTCTGAGGCTCTGAGCAAGACGCTGTCCCTGCCGCTCTGCCGGCTTCTGGTGGATCCCGGCGTTCCTGGGCTGTGGCTGCAGCGTCACATGGCGTCCTTCCTGTGTCCCCGTCTCTGTGTCTCTTCTGCTCTTTTATAGGGTCACCACTCATATAGGATTAGGGCCCACCCTACTCGGCTGTGACATCACGTTAACTTTACTGATAACATCTGCAGAGACCCTATTTCCAATCAGGGTCACCTTCACAACTACTGGGGTCAGGACTTCAGCATGTCGTTTTAGAGGACTCAGATCGACCCACAACAATACACACGTTGCCTTTCACATACTGCAGCTTTCTTTTGTTCTTTTGGTAATTTGAATTTTGGAAAATTTGTATCCCCCACTGTGAGCTGACAGATACCCGATACTTCCAGACTTTACTGACAAAATCAGAGGTGCTATTAATCGATATGACTTTTTCTGATATTGTGTAGTGGGCTGTCAGCGTTTGAAAGATCAGCAGAGGCCATGAACAGGCAAAAGATCTGTCTGAGGAGCAAGATAGATCCGTGGATGTTAGTGTAACAGAGCACAGAGTTCCCTGATGTGATTGCAGATTCTACGCTGCTTACTTTGTATCAAGAAACCACAATTTGTCAAGTTTTGGTGCACAGTTGTACCAAAGAAGATTGTCCACTATTATCTGAAAAAACCTATTAAAACACTGCTCCACTTTCCACCTGAATCTGTGAGGCCGATTTTCTTCCTGTTCTCCAACCAAAACACCATATTTCAGCAGACCAGAAGCAGAAGCAGATGTGAGAATTTAGCTGTTTTCTATTAAGCCAGTCAGTAAGTAGGTTTGAAAATGTGTAAAATGATGCCACTTACACACTTTTTTTTTTTTTTTGGAAAATATGGTTAGTTCTCATAAAAATATGTTATTTTGTTGAAATATAATGGGATTATTACTTTTTAAAGTGACTAGGAGTGAATACGTTTTTCAGTTTAACAGTAAATATTGATAGATAACCACATGCCAATTCCAACTCCTGGAGACCCCATGTGTGTCAGAGTAGAGCTGTGCTCCACAGGGTTTTCAATAGCTGCTTTTTGGAAGTAGATTGCCAGGCCTTTCTTCCAAGGCGCCTGTGGGTGGACTTGAACTTCCAACCTTTCAGATGGCAGCCGAGCGTGTGAACCGTTCGCACCACCCAGTGACTCCACAGTTACCCTCAACAAAGGTAAAGAGCCCTGACAAGACGAGTGAGTGTAGTGGAACTTTCCCGTAGCGTGTGAACCAGCGTAGACACCGTCAAGGAATTACTGCTCTGTTCGTCCTCGTTACCGTCGGAGAACCTTCTTTCAGCAAAGCGGTGGTTTTCAGGATGGACTTACTAGTCGTGCAGTGCTGCTCAGTAAGCAAAGCACATTTAAAGTGGACTTTTAAGAAATATAATGTCTGTACTTCCAGTTCTGTAAAGTGTGCACAGCTAGCTTGACATCAAAGAAAAGAGTTTATGATGGTTTAACTGTGTTTATTAAGAAGTTACTGAATGTCCCAGAAGCCGGTCCTGAAACCACATGTAACTTTTGACTATAACCAGCAAACCACATTTAAGAGAAGCCCTGAATAAAAGCATTTCCCCTAGCTCACAGCTTGGCTTTTCCTTTGTAAACCAGTGGAATATTAATCTAAACCAAATGCAAAGAAGAGGTCATATTTTTGCAAAAGGAATGTAAATCCCAATATTGACAATTATTTATTAAAAATAGACATGGGATGGATTTATGACTAGGAATCTTTACTATAAACCTTTATAGGAGATGTGACCTAGCAATAAAGTCCGTTTTTATTTTTTAGTTGTCTACCCAAACATTCTTGTAAACCCTAAGAGGGAAGAGATGTGACAAGGCAGCAGTGTTCAGAATACGGTAGCTTGGCAGTGAGATGATTATTCTGAGTAAATTGATTTTTCACTTTTCTGCGAATTGGCAGCCAGTTAAAGCGAATCCTTTCAAGGTTATCAGGGGCCTGGTCAGTGTGCTGGATACGTCTGCAGGAGAAAGAACAACAGCACGTTTGGGAAAGAGGTCAGTAAAACAAAAAAGAATAACGTAGACTCTCCCAGGAAAAGCGGTCATTTAAGAATACGGAAACATTTTCCCGAGAACCTCTTATGAGACATGGATTGTATGATGCCAAGGAAATGTTCTGGATTTTTTAACCTGAAACCCTTGCCGAGTCAGTCAACTGGAGACCGTCAGAGCGATGATGCTAATGATAGAAAGCAGTTGGTGAGAATGGACCCAGAGAAGTGGATAGAAAACCTCCAGGAAACTCTCCTGAGTACTCTTCTCTTCTGAACCCAAGGGCTGAGAGGGGAGGCCTGTCCCGAGGGGGCGGAGAGGGGCCTGTCCTCAGGGGGCCGAGAGGGGCCTGTCCTGAGGGGAACGAGAGGGGCCTGTCCTCAGGGGGCCTAGAGGGGCCTGTCCCGAGGGGGCCGAGAGGGGCCTGTCCTCAGGGGGCCAGGAGGGGCCTGTCCTCAGGGGGCCGAGAGGGGCCTGTCCTCAGGGGGCCGAGAGGAGGCCTACACAGATGAGAGGAGTTGAGAGAGCTGTTCTGAACTGAAGAAGGGAGACTCTGCCTACATGCTTCCCGATCCTGATCCTGAGCGGTAGCCTGTGGATCCTGATCCTAAATTGTAACCTGATACTTCTGTAATGAACCCCATAATCAGTACTGCCTGTGTGACCATTGCAATGAATTATCAAACCCAGCGGAGAAGTAGAGAGTGCCGTGGGGGGACAGCTGGTGTCAGAATTGGTGAAAAGGTTGGAGAGTGGAGGCATGTCTTGACCTCCTGCCTCCTAGGGACCAGCCTTGGGCTAATGTTGACAGAGATGGTGACTTTCGCTCCTCCGTTTCCGAAGTTACACGGGGAGGACCGACTGAGGCTGTGCCACGCCGTTTTTACAGCCTTGACTGTACAGTGAAGGCTGTGAGAGCCGGGACGCGACGAGGCTGCCTTGTTTTTCCGCGGCTGACAGGATGCAGTCTTTACCGCCTTTCTCTCACGCGTTTCAGTGGAAAGTAGTTCAGTTTTCCGTCTGACAGGTTTCCCCTTACACAGGTCCCCGCTTTCGCAGGTTTTACCATATAAAGAAAAACCCACAACAAACCCAAACCATCTATCGGATACAACTCACAGTTTTAAACGTGGATGTGTCTTTCCTTCTTGTATTTCTTCCCTGCATACACTTCTGTGAATTTCTAAGTATTAAATGAGCGCATTGATTTTTAGTCAAGAGGAAAGCAAGCTGAACTATTCTGTAAGTGAAAGTGCCCTTGTGTTGAAAGTGGACACGGCGGCCCTGCTCGCTCTTCCCAGGAGAGGGCAGTGGGCACTGTCTTTGAAGAGCCGTTTCCCCAGGCAGTGCTGAGAAGAAGCCAACTCACAGAATGCGGAGACTAATCCCCCAAAACCACCTCCCCCGGCTCACTCTTCTGAGTCAGAGAACTGTGCAGCTTTGTCGCAAGACTTCTTGTCCGCGAGGTGCTCGTGTCCCGGTGTTCACCTCCTTAATTTCCATTTCCTCTCTTTTTTATCCATCTCGTTACAGCTCGGCTGGTGACCACAAGGTCAGCAGTTCGAATCCACCAGCCGTTCCTTGGAAACCCTATGGGGCAGTTCTAGTCTGTCCTGTAGGGTCGCTATGAGTCAACATTGACTCGAAGGCAATGGCTTTGGATTGATTTTGGTTTAGTTACTGTAGAAGGAGTCCTCGGGCCAGGTGAACAGTTAAAGCGCTCGGCTGCTAACCGAAAGGTTGGAGGCTTGAGTCCACACAGAGGTGCCTCAGAAGAAAGGCCTGGCAATCTACTTCTGAAAAATCGCCACTGAAAACCCTATGGAGCCCAGTTCCACTCTGACACACATGGGGTCACTGTGAGTCAGAGCTGACTCGATGATAACCTTTTTTTTTTTAATTACCGTAGTAATGTACTGAGAAGAAACAGAACATTTGGGGAAAAAAATGATTTTTTCCCTGCAGGCTATCCTAGTTTTTCCTAATTAGGAGAAAATGCATTTGAGGTATTTTCTCCGTAGGCATTTCCAGTTTCACTGACAACAAACACCTTTTCCTGAGTGAATCGTTTGTGTACCTGTCTGTCACGTGACTTTCAGGTATGAGGTGTTGTCCTTGGATACCTGAGATGCGACCGTGAACAAAATGGACAAAGTCCCCGTTCTTCTGAAGCTGATATCCCAGTGGGAGAAACAGCCAGTAAATAAATACATACATACTACGGTAGGCAGGACTGATAATAAGGAGTCCCTGGTGGTGTGAATGGTCTCCATGCTCAGCTGCTAGCCAGAAGGTTGGAGGTTCGAGTCCACTCAGAGATGTCTCAGAAGAAAGGCCTGGTGATCTAGTTCTGAAAAAGTCAGCCATTAAAAGCCCTGTGGAGCACAGTTCTACTCTGATGCGCATGGGGTTGCTGGGAGTCAGAGTTGACTGCCCTGATTTTATGAAGAAGAAGGAAGCAGGGAAAGGGATGGTGAATGCACAGGTGAGAGGGGGCGGTTTATCTCGGGTGGTCGGGAAGGCCCCTTAAAGGGACAATGGAGCAGAGGTATACAGAAAGGAGGGATATCTGGGAGCAGAGACTACCAGGCAGAGGCGAGAGCAAACGCAAAGACCCCAGGCTGGGTGCGTCGGGAGGCTGGGAGCCGTCCGGGTGCTGGTGTGGCTGGCGGAGAGCGAGTCGGGCTGGGGCGAGGAGGCCAAGGGGGCGCCTTGTGTGCGGGCTCAGCACCCTGGTTTTTCTTGGGGTGGATTGGGGGCCGCTGGGAGGTTTGGAGCAGAGGGTCCCATGGTCTGGCTTGCCTTCTGAGGGACTCGTGTGGCACCGGCCAACGTGGTTTCAGGGACGTCCAGGGGGCAGCAGAGGGGGTTGTGCAGAGGCTGAATGAATACTGTTGTGAGCTGCTTTCGAGTTCGCTCTGGCACAACAGAACGAAATGCTGCCCAGCCCTGCACGACCCCCGCCATCGGTGGTGGATTGGATCATTGTGATCCATAGAGTTACCACCAGCTAATTTTTGGAAGTAGGTTGCCAGGCCTTTCTTCCTAGTCTGCCTTAATCTGGATGCTCTGTTGAAACCTGTTCGGCATCACAGCAACATGAAAGCCTTCCCTGACAGATGGGTGATGGCTATGCATGAGGTGCCTTGGCTGGGAATCGAACCTGAGAATTCTACCTCTGAACCACCAATGTCTCGTGAATGAATACTAAGGACTGAATAAGCATTTGTTGAATAAATGTTCTGAAAAGCTTATAGACCAGGGATCCATGATCTTTTCCTGTGAAGGACCAGACAGTAGATATTTCGGCTTTGCAGCCATATGGTCTCTGTCACACCTGTTGAACTTTGCCGTTGTAGTGAGAAAACAGCTGTAGGCAGCTTACGAACCAGGGCCGTGGCTGCGTGCCACTGCAGCTTTGTTTATAAGAATAGGCGGTGGTCGGGAGCCAGCCTGTTAGGGGCTGATGGTGATAAAGGCGGTTATTTGTCAAATACCTGTTACCTGCCAGGTGTTTCTTTCTGAACCTAGAACACAGTGTCACCAATCCTGACCCCCACCCTGAGGGGGGCCACGTGTGGATTGGATGGTGACCCCGAAACATGTGTTGATGGTGTGACCCCTGTACCTGTGAATGAGACTTGTTTGGGGAAATCGGGTTTTTCCTGCAGATGTTATAGGTTAATGAGGCCAGCCCAGAGTAGGGTGGATCCTAACCTAACCCCTCTGGGTGATGGCTCATGAGAAGGGAAGACAGACATGGAGAGACACACACACACGGACACATGCATGCACAAATACATGCACACATGCGTGAACACACACACTCATGCATGCACAGAGGCACACGTGCACAGATGCACGTGCATGCACACATATGCACATACAAATGCATACATATGTATGCACGCACGTATGCACACATACACACACATGCACGTATGCACACACGCATGCACACATGCATACACACACGCATGCACACACGTGCGTGCACATGTACACGCACACACACATGCACACACGCATGCATGCATGCACACAGATGGACACACAGGCACAAATGCATGCACGTGGGGCAAGCAGATGCCTTGTGAAGACCCCTCGACAGGCTAAGGCGCCCCCAGGCTATGGACAAGGAGGCCCTAGAGCTGACTCCCTGTGGATGTCCAGCCTCCCAAACAGTAGACAAGCATTTCTGTTCTTGAAGCCTCCCGCTTGCAGTCTTTTTTGTTACAGCAGCCTGGGAGATCATTGTTGCTGTTGGGTGCCGTTGAGTCGACTCCAAACCCCACATGATGGAGTAGAACTGCCCTGTAGGGTTTTCTAGGCCGTAATCTTTATGGGAGCCGATCGCAAGGTGTTTTCTCCCGAGGAGCCACGGGTGGGTTCAAACTGCCGATCTCTTTGTTAGCAGCCATGTGCTTAACCATTGCACTACCAGGGCAGGTGGTGTCCTAATTTTATAGCTGAGGAGCCTGTCCCCATCTCTCCATCGAACATCCCACTCTGTGTAGGGGCTGTCCAGTCTTCCTCTGCCCCCAGAAGCCCTGAGGGCGCCTTGACCCTAGGGCAGAGTCGTGGGAGACTTGCTGGCCGGCCGAGGGGCAAAGCAGGCACGTAACTCGCTGTCTTTCAGTTTCTTGAGCAGGCGTGGGGTCTCCGCCAACCCCTATCTCGGAAGCACCTCCAACGGCTACGCGAACCCCAGCGGCTTGGCTCTCCACTACGACTACGTTCCGTGCATCAATGGTTCGGTGAGTGCCGCGTTTTCAGAGAGGACTCGGTTTATTTCGCTTCAAGGCGAGACTGCCTGAAACGTTCTGTAACTGAGTGTCCCTGGTTTCTGTCCAAACGGCATAAAGTTTCTTTTTTAATGCTTTGGGCCACGATGAAATCCCTACCCCGTCTCTCCTCTGCTGGCTTTGACGGACTGTCCGTCTCTAACTGCATTTGAACACGGGGTGACCGGACCCCAGGAGTCGGGCGTCAATCACACATTGCAGCACACTTTAGGGTACTGACTAGACAATAACGTACATATTACATATTCACGTCTCTAACCTGGATCACTCAGAATACAGCACAGTGTCAGTTAGCCATGCTCAGTCACCTCCCGGTGCGGTGACAAGCTGAGAAACTGCCCTGTGCAGGCCAATGGCCACCCTGCAAACACAAGACTTCCTCATGGCGGACTTCAGGTCGCAGAGACTGTGGGCGTCTGGGCCAGTGCTGTGTGGACACCCACGGATGAGTACCGGTGGGCCTCTGGGTGGTGCAGACTGTTAACTTGCTCGGTTGCTAAATGAAAGGTTGGGGGTCCAGTCTACCCAGAAGTACCTTGGAAGAAAGGCCTGGTGATCTACTTCTGAAACATCAGCCCCTGAAAACCCTGTGGAGCGTAGTTCTGCTCTGACACACATGGGGTCGCCAGGAGTCAGGGCTGACTCAATAGCAAGTGGTCCTGTTTTTAGTAGAAACATCAGAGACTTTTAGTGACGGTGTCTTGCATCAAAACCGGCCCTCTGGGTCTGTCGGGCTTGGTGTTCTGAGTTTTGGGTGTCACTAGCAGAACTCATCTGTAAAAGTCTATTTTCTTCTGTCCCCACATTCTCCGTTTAGCCATTGTTTATCAAGCATCTCCTCCGGCTGGCTGCTGGGCCCAGGGTCTCGGGGTTCGCAGACGAGGGCCTCCCTGTGGTCAGCAGATGGGTGGGTGGGAGAGGCGATGAGTGTTTGCCGGGATGAGATGCATCTATAATTAGCATCTATGTTAAGACAGAGGAGCCCTGGTGGCCCAACGGTTAAGCTTTCGGCTGCTAACCCAAAGGTCGGGGGTTCAAACCCACCAGTGGCTCCACGGGAGAAAGACCTGGCAGTCTGCCTCCGTTAGGATAACAGCCTTGGAAACCCTATGGAGCAGCTCCCCTCTGTCCTGTAGGGTCCCTGTAAGTAGTAATTGACTTGCGGCACCCAACAATGCCACATTAAGATGCCTTCCGGAGGCAGGCGTAGGGTGTATTGTTACTCTGTCAGCTTTTTGAGCTGGTGTAGACCGCCCTCCCCCACAGCCCACCCGCTGTCTCCCCCCCGTGTCGCTGTGTACCCTCCATCATCATAAACCCACACTTGCCCCAGGCAGGAGCCGGCAAACAAGCAACCCGTGAGGGAGGTGAGGGGGCCAGACCCCCAGAGCCCAGAAGTGTCAGCAACTGAACCCAGGCCAGGAGTGGAGGCAGGGCTGGAGGCCAGGGGTGGAGGCAGGGGTGGAGGCCAGGGCTGGAGGCTGGGACTGGAGGACAGGGGTGGAGGTCAGGAGTGGAGGCAGTGGTGGAGGCAGAACTGGAGGCAGGGGTGGAGGCAAGGCTGGTGGCCAGGGCTGGAGGCTGGGACTGGAGGCCAGGGGTGGAGGCCAGGAGTGGAGGCAGGGGTGGAGGCCAGGAGTGGAGGCCAGGGTGGAGGCAGGCCTGGAGGCCAAGGGTGGAGGCAGCGGTGGAGGTCAGGAGTGGAGGCAAGGGTGGAGGCTGGGCTGGAGGCCAGGGTGGAGGCAGGCCTGGAGGCCAAGGGTGGAGGCAGCGGTGGAGGTCAGGAGTGGAGGCAAGGGTGGAGGCCAGGGGTGGAGGTCAGGAATGGAGGCAGGGGTGAAGGACAGGGGTAGAGGCAGGACTAGAGGCAGGGGTGGAAGCAAGGCTGGAGGCCAGGGTTGGAGGCTGGGACTGGAGGCCAGGGCTGGAGGCAGGGGTGGGGGCTGGTGATGGAGGCCAGTTAGTAAGAGGCCCTGGAATCAAGTGTCCCAAGGTCAGGGGTGTCTTGTCAGGGCCTCGTCCTGTTGGACAACCCCCACGCCGTCGGCCCTGCCCAGGGGTCCTGACTGGTTCCTACAGCAGGATTCCCACCGCCCCCGTCCATGCTCCGTCTCTATTTACCTCTCCCTCCTCCCCCTTCTCTTCCTTCTCCCTCCCTTGCCCTCCCCTCCCCCACCCCCTCCTGCCTCCTTTGCGGGGTTCTCTTAGCAATGGAGGAAGAAAAGGATCAGATGCAGTCTTTGTCCTTGAAGGACAGCACGGTCCCAGACCAGATGTGGGAAGAGGGGAGGAGCTGACGGGCCCTAGGGGCGGCAGGGCAGCGTTCATGGTCCGCGTCGGGACACTGGGCGATGGTATGTGAGCACAGCCACTTTTATGCCCCGTTCCAACATCAAAGCCCATCGTGGAAACTCACATCGGAGTCTGGGCTCAGGGCAGGGCCGGTCAGTGCCCTCCTCCCATGCCCACCTCTAGCCCTGCCACCGGGACCCAGGATTGGGGAGGTCCCCCTGTCACCCCAGGGCCCCCCAGGAGAGCACCATGGCCCCCCAGGAGAGCACCATGGCCTCGGCCCTGTAGGCAGGGCTCTGCATGCTCTAGCGTGGTCCATTTCCACTTGGGCTCCATGTTTGCTGGGCTCCTCTCGCCCCTGCTGGCTCTGTGCCAGCTTCTCTTGACACAGCTGTCCTTCCCTGATTGAAGACCGCAGTGACCCACCATCTGCTTCTCTGAGCCTTGACCTCAACCTCCAATGTCAGCTTCAGAGATAAACTCACACCCGTCTCCAGAGCTTCCCACCCAGAGACCCACCCACACATGTGGTGGTGTTTTTGTCGCTGTGACCCTATGAGACGGACTAGAACTGCCCCATGGGGCTGCTAAGGCTGTAATCTTTGTGGAAGCAGATCACCAGGTCTTTTCTCCTCTAGAGGTGCTAAGTGGGTTTGAATCACCATCCTTTCAATTTGCAGCCAAGCACTTTAACCACTGCACCCCAGGGCTCCTCTCCAGTGAGTACACACCTTGAACGTGACCGCAGAACGGCGAGCTGAATGGGTGAGGGGACCCATGGCACTGCTGTTGCTGCTGGTAGTTGCTGTCAAGTTGGCTCCGACTCACGGTGCCCCTCTGCACAGCAGAACACAACATTGCACCGTCTTCGTGACTGTTGGCATGTCTGAGTCCAGTTGGACGGTATTCTGTTGTGATCCGCTGAGTTTTCATTGGCTAATTTTCAGAACTAGATCTCCAGGCCTTTCTTCCTAGTCTGTCCTAGTCTGGTCACTGTACAAATACTAATCTAGCTGCTAATACAAATCTCGCCATCCCACATAGCTCTGGTCTTTACTGTGCCAGTTCAGGCTACCCCAGGAGTGAGCTTTCTATGGTCGTTGGCAGCTTAATCTACTTTACAGATAAAAACCTGCCAAGGAATTGACCAGGCATGTATGCTGTGGGGCTGGCCGTATTGGCCTTCAAGACATACGATGCGCCATGCCTGGGTTTGCAGCTCTGCTTGTTGGGAGTTTTCTTCCTTTCAGCTCTTCACTTGCTGGGCTCTGTTACCGGGCATCTCTTTTTGGAGGGCTTCGTTTCTAGGTCCCATAAAGGTCTTACTTTATAATGACCCAATGACCCCATGTCTGACATCCCAGCAACGTGTCTGGGGTTCAGTAGTTCTTACCCATTCCATGTTCCCCCGGAAGACCAAGATGAAATGATTCTCAAAAGGATCTTCTCTCCCTCTATCTCACACACACACACACGCACACACACACACACGTTAAATCTAGAATCTTCTATGGGGCCCCCACAGGTGTTCTTCTAAGCTTCCATGTGACCTAATCTTTTGGTATTTTCAGAAGATGATAGTCTAGACCATTTTAGTAACTCTGGCAAACGCTGCCAGGTTGTCATTGTGAAACTCTCATCTCTAAGTTTATCTGGACCATTATTTTTAGATGGTAGATGGTCCCCAGCTTCACAAAAATAGACACGCTGATGTGATTGCAGAGAAATAAAAACACTCCTGCTATGGAATTTTAAATCTTTTCTATTTTTATAACGAAAGGATGTAATTACAGTCTGGCAGAATGACACTGTGCAAGAAGGATACAAAAATAGGGTAAAGCGAGCATAATATGTGAATTAATATCATTTCTAAAAAGGCACGGCGATTTACAAAGACCTTTAAAACTTCAAAGGATCCGGTGGGGGTTGTTAGTTGTGGGTTTTAGTTTAGACTTCAAAGCCCGTGTTTTAAAATTTCTCTGTCCCTTGAAGTGGCTTGTAGCTATTTTGGCCCTTTATGAAAAGGTCCCTGGGTGAGGCAAATGGTTAACAAGCTCGGCTGCTGACTGAAAGGTCAGGGGTCCGAGTCCACCCAGAGGCGCCTCGGAAGAAAGGCCTGGTGATCTACTTCAGAAAAAATCAGCCACCGAAAACCTCGTGGAACACAGTTCTACTCTGACACACATGGGGTCTCCAGGAGTCGAGGTCAACTCCAGGGCAACTGTTTATGTTTTTTTAACCCCTTCTTTTACCAAGAAGGAGTTTGCACAGCAACCCTATAGTTCAGAGTAAGACTCTGAAACGGGCTTGGTCCACTCCTAGCAGCTGTGTGACCTCTCTCTACCTCACAATCACTCTACTCACTCATTTACTTTGAGGATTAAATGCATCAATATCTTTCAGCTCTTGAAATGACGTCCAGAACAGAGTAAGTCCTGTCCACCAACACGCAGCGCTCTGCCCGCTCTGCTCGCCCTTCCCGGGAGCCCAGGACTCCGGGTCCGCGGCTCCGAGTCCGGCCCTGCTGTGTGACTCCTGTTGTTTCCACCTCCGCTCTGTCCTCACCCGAGTCTCCCACTAACACCTCCTCTGTGGGGAGGGCGTCTCTTGGGCTCAACTCCCAGGCATAGCATCTCATTCTAGAATGTTCTATCATGTCATAATGGCTAAGTCACTGTCCTTCCCACTTCTCCAGAGAAGGAAATGTCTCATTGGTATTTTTTTCTGCTTTAAAAACAAGCAAAACAACAAGTTCATAAGCCAGTGACTCCTGGAATGATTTAAGGAATGACCTTTTCCTTGTCTTTTGAATCATTCTACCCCCGAGTGAGTGTGCACGTTATTGACAACACTTGAGGGGAATATGATAGAAATTCCTGGGTGGTGCACTTAACTGCTAACCTGAAGGTTGGCAGTTCAAACCGACCCAGCAGTGCTGCAGAAGAAAGGCCTGGCGATCTGTTCCCATAAGGATTATTATTTGTTGTCGTTGTGTGCCATTGAGTCAATTCTGGCTCACAGCAACCCTACAGGACACAGTAGAACTGCCCCATGGGGTTCCTAGGCTGTAATCTTTCTGGGAGCAGATTGTCATGTCTTTTCTCCCGTGGAGCCACTGGGTGGATTCGAACCGCCAACCTTTTGGTTAGCAGCCAAGCACTTAACCATTAGGACCAGGGCTCTTTAAAGATGATAGCTAAGAAAACCCTGTGGACAGTTCTACTCTGTAACACGTGGGGTTGCCATGAGTTGGAATCCACTCAACACCGACGGGTTTGGGTTTTGGTTTGGGGGTACACGTACGTGTTTTGCGGGTGTTACTGACTTCTCTCTCTCTGTGGACGTCCGCTCTGAGCTCCGTGGCTGTGTCACTAACATCACAGCTCTGTGTGTTTCAGCGGGACCCCGAAGACGGCCTTCCTGCTTCCCGTAGCAGAAGCTTGGGAGAAGAGGTGCTTTATGATAACGCAGGCCTGTACGATAACTTACCGTCTCCGAAAATCTTTGCACGCTACTCAGCTGCGGAGAGAAAGACTTCTAGGGCGTCTCCTGACAAACTGTCTTCTAACCATTACAAACATCCTGCTTCGCCCCGCCTGTCCTCACCCCAGTCTCTCACTAATACCTCTTCTGTGGGGAGGGCGTCTCTCGGGCTCAACTCCCAGGTACAGCATCTTTCTGGAATGTTCTGTCATGTGATAACCACTAAGTCACCCTCCTCTAGAGCTTTGCAGTGACAGCGGAGTCAACAAACTGTCATAAATGGGATTTGTCAAAGGAAACATCATTTTTTTTTCCTCAGCTAGAATATAATTGGCAAACACGGTCAACGTTCGGTTACCCAGGAACTGGTGAGAGCTTCCTGGCTAGCTGAGTTCATCTAAGCACGGATTTTTTTTCTCTGCATCTGGCTTTCTTTCCATTCTTGGAAGATTCCCTGAGGCATTTTGTAAATTAAGTCAGCTTAAAGGCAAAGGTTTTAAAAAAGAATATCCTGGAATGCATTAAAGTTCCTTTAATGCATTTTATTAAATTATACGTACATGTAAATATATATAGGTCATTGTATGTAAACAAGGAATGGTTGGCTCCCAATAGTAATAGCTTTCTGTTCTTTAAACAGGATCAATCATGCCACGAAACCTTTCTGTAAGAAGTACAAAAGTGTGCATACTCCCTAGAACCCAGTAGATGAGTAAGGAGTTTGAATTCTCCCTGAACGATAAACAGCCTTGGTGAATGAACTACCCTCCACCCTCCACCCCACAGAAACACTTCTACATAAATGCTAAGTTAGTGTTTTCATGCATTTTCGATCTAAGAATTTTTCTAATGCCTTGCTTAAAGATCTAAGCACCCCGTGTGAGAATACTCTGCTCACAGATAGCAAACAGACTTGCTTTGCTTTGTTTTCCTTTCCCTCCACTTTTAGGGTAATCTTAACGGAATGGTGAATGCAGGTCCTAGACTTTCAGGCGGCGGTGGCCTATAGCAGCGTTGCCCAACCAATGGGCTTCATCAAAAATCACGTGGGAAGATTTTTTTTTTTTTAATTTTTATTTTGAGGATGTGTTTTGTTTTAAAAGTCAGTTGTGTAGATCCCACCTCTGGAGATTCTGACTCCACGAGCCTGAAGGGGGCTCCCACCGTGGTGTCGTCAGGGGTGGGAGCCCACGGCCTCTGTATCGCTATGTGACCTTTTTCTGAGTGCTGTTAAAATCTGGCAGGCTGCGTGTCTCCCATAGCACATGCGAATCTGTGTATTAATCTGTCTTTTATTAGCAGACAGTTAACTTGGGTAGAAAACACGGTGCACAGTATGCCATCTTGTGTGTCTGGATCAGGAGCCCTGGTGGCGCAGTGATTAAGTGCTTGTCTGCTAACCGGAAGGTCGGCGATTCGAACCCACCAGCGGCTCCGCGGGAGAAAGACGTGGCGGTCTGCTCCTGTAAAGATGACAGCCTTGGAAACCCTCTGGGGCAGTTCTGCTCTGTCCTACAGGGCCGCTATGAGTCAGCATCGACTCGATGGCTGTGGGTTTTTTGTTTGTTTTAGGTTTGGCGTTCGGATTACCCCAAATTAGGGTGGACTGTTAAACACATGGTTTAAAATGCTTGTTTTTGTTTATTTTATTTTAGTTTTTATTTTAACGAGGAAACACGTTTGCAAGTCAGATGCTAGTATCTGAGTTTCCCTGCCCTCATTTGGTTGTTTTAACGGAGGATGAAGGGACCCAGCGTTCACTGAGCACCTGCAGTATGCCGTGTGCTGCATACATGTGTGGTATGACGTTCTGTCTTCCCAGGAACCTGTGAGAAGGTGCCGATGTCCTTGTGTTTTTAAACGAGGAGATGGAGGCTGGAGAGCTGTGATGTTCTGCTCAGATCTCCTAGCTGGTGGGAATGCTGTGGAGCCACAGATTTTTTTTAATGAGTTGTTTTTTTTTTTAATTTTTGGTGAGGATATACACAGCAAAACATACATCAATTCAGCCGTGTCTGCAGGTACAGTTCAGTGACATCAGTTACATTCTTCATGTTGGACCACCTTTCTCGACAATCTTTGCCCATGGTTTCCCCATCGTCCACACCGGCTCGCTGCCCCTAAGCTTCTCCTGTCACCTTCCAGTCAGTGTTGTTGGTTTAATCCCACACAGATTATCCTGTGAAGGAGCCAAGGGTCCAAGGTGGACGTTCTTTTCTAATCAAGCTAAGCTAGTGTTGGGTTTAGAGATGACGTCAGGGAATGGTTTCGCTTTAAGGTCTGAATATTTCCTCAGGGTAGTAGCTGGGGGGCTCCTCAATGTGGAGCCAGAATTGGAAGCTAGTGCTATCTGCCCCCCAAAAAAACTCAAGCCTACAATGGAAAGAAATGTATCATAATGGAAAAAAACAAAAACAAAAACCCAGGAGTTAGCCTTGGCCATCTGGCTGAATCCATTACGTAACTAAAGTACACATCCTACCCCTTATGCAAAACACATCAGCTGCTGGCTGGCAGCACCCAAGAACGAGGGGGCCTATATAATTTTTTTAAAAACCTAAGGTTAACCAAAATTTAGTTTATACTGTTTCTACATTTTGCTTCTCTCGCTTCCCTTCTCGGACCCTGCCGTTGAAAGCAGGGGTCTGACCCGCTCAGCGTGGAAGCCCCTGAGGCAGAAATCTAACGGTCCGGTCTTGCCACCCCCCTGATAGCATTCCACCAAGAAGAAAAGTCTGTACGTTTTGTGATCCTCACAGAATGTTCTCAGCTCCTATCTGCCTGGGCCAATTTCCCAATTAACATTTACAATCTCCTGAGAGAGATCTAGAATTTCTGTAGCCTTCCAGCTGAAGACATGCTTGAGGCCCTCATTTGCTCTGAACTTTGTTTCTAGAACCTTCTTAGCAATTCTGGGAAAACCATACCAGTCTGATATTTGGAAGTCAAGTTGGTTTTCTATACAACCCGCATTTTTTTCCTGTCTACGTGAGGGTCTCCTTAAAAGAGTCAGAGACCAAAACAACTTTCTGTAAAGAAACGCCCCAGAGTTTTGATTTGTTTTTAATTTCCTCATATGTTTGCTTCAACAGGTCAAGGGCAAAAAGCCCGCAGTAGCATCTAGCGGGGTCCCAGGGAAAGGCAAGACCCTGAGCAGTCAGCAGAAAAAGGCTGACTTCACAGGCGGCGTGAAGAGAGCGCCTTCGAGTAAGTGTACCGTTGGATTTCTGGCCTTCTGGCTTTAGGTCTGATTTGCAGGGTGGGGCTGTAAGAAGGGAGCCGTATACGGCATCCTCCTCCTTCAGCTTCTGGATCGAAGAATGGCGACCGTTTCTAACGCTGCTTTGGTGAATGTTGTCAATAAAAGAAAAAACACAGCTGCCTGTTGACTGTAGAATTGATCGTTGTCGTTGTTGTTAGCTGCTGTCCCCTCGGCCCCCGCCTCATGGCGACCCCAAGCACAACGGAACGAAACGCTGCCCGGTCCTGTGCCATCCCCGTGGGGGGTTGTGCATCAGACTGTGGGGATTCATAGGGTTTCATTGGCTGATTTTCCAAGTAGATGACCAGGCCTTTCCTCCTCGTCTGTCTTAGTCTGGAAGGTCTGCCGGAACCTGTTCAGCATCAGAGCCACACACAAGCTTCCACTGACAGACGGGTGGGGGCTGTGCATGAGGTGCATTGGCTGGGACGCGAACCTGGGCCTCCCGCTGGAAGGCGAGAAGTCTACCTCTGACCCACCACTGGCTCATGCAGAATTAAGTACATTGAAATATGAGGCAGTTGGAAGTCAGGTGGCCCTGAGTTCTGGGTCAGGAGACCCAGGTTTGTGTCCCTGGTCTGCCACTGACCTAGTGATCATGTCAAGTTGTGTGAACTCTCTAAACCCAGCCCCTGAGTTGGGTAGGGATGGGGACAAGTAGTGATTGTGGCTGCTGTGGTTGAAATAATGGTGGTAATAGGTGTTCTCCAAAGCACTAGACACGTAAGGATTTACAGGGGGTGATTATTCCTACAGGCCTGGTGGGTTACATCCAGCTGTTACTCTGTTAGCCTGTGTAACACTCCCAGCACCTTTACCGAGGTGGGAATGATGGCCTATCCCATTGGACAAGGAGGAGTAGTGTCTGGGAGGTGGGGTGCTTCCCCAGGGCCCCACAGCTGGTGAACACCTGAGCCAGAGCAAGGCTGGGCTGGGCAGGGCGGAGAAGCTGGGAGACAGGAGGGGAGGCCCGGCCGTGAAAGCTCCGTGTCCTCCGCTTTTGTCTCGAATTGGTCTGTGGAAGGCGGTGCTGCTGCCCGTGGCTACGTGTGTGTTCCCAGCCCGACTGGTCGGACTCCTGCTCCCCCAGCCGACGAGGACCTGCTTATTCGAGGGCCTAGGCTGGGTGCTGGGTGCGCAAAGATGAGCTGAGTACTTTCCATCAAGGGTCTTTGGCATCAAGGGGCTCACACATGCAGAAACAGCGTAAGGACCACAAGAAAGGCGTTGACACAGCCGAGGAGCACCCAAGTCCGTCTGGGGGGTCAGGGGAGGCGCCCCTGGGGAGGAAGACACGAGTTGGACTTGAACAGAGAGTTTTTGGTTTTTTTGTTTTATTTTTGGTGAAAATGTTGTTGTTATTGTTGTGAGGTACCGTCAAGTGAGTTCCGACTCATAGTGACCCCGTGTACAACAGAACAAAACCCTGCCCGGTCCTGCGCCATCCTCACGATCGTTGCTGTGTTTGAGCCCGTTGTTGCAGCCACTGTGTCAGTCCATCTCACTGAGGGTCTTCCTCTTTTTCGATGACTCTCTACGTTACCAAACATGATGTCCTTCTTCAGGGACTGACCTCTCCTGACAACATGTCCAAAGTATGTGGGAGGAAGTCTCGCCATCCTCGCTTCTAATATACACAACGAAATATACACAGCAAAATATACAGCACTTCAGCCATGTCTACATGTACAATTCAGTGACATTGTTACATGCTTCAAGTTATACCATCTTTCTCGACAACATTTTCCAAACTATTTCACCATCATTAACACAAACTCACTGCCCCCTAAGTTTATCCTTTCCAGTTGCTGTTGTCGATTTGATCACACACAGATAATTCTTTAAAAGAGTATAATGTTTAATGTAGACTTTTTTTTTTTTCTAATTAGACTATTATTTGGTGCAAAGATGACTTCAGGGAAGAGTTTCAGTTTAAGGTCTAAAGATTTCCTTAGGGTAATAGTTTTGGAGGGTCATCCATCTGCTGTGGCTCCAGAAAGCCTGGATTCCATGAGAATTTGACATTCTGTTCCACGTGTTCCCCCTTTTGATGAGGACTTTCTGTAGAATCTTTGATCCAAAGCTCAGTAATGGTAGCTGGGCACCATCTAGTTCTTCTGGTCTCATGGCAAATGAGGCAGTCATTGAATGGGGAATTTGATACGCACACACGTCATTGTCACTTGGGACTTGCATTGGAACATTTTGAATCTAGATCATTGTGACGGGTAGATGAGTCTCCATGTGAATGAGCAGGCAGCTAGTTCTGCTAACGACCTCACCACCAGCTGTGGAGAGAAGAAGTCTTCCATACCCATGCTAAGCTGGCAGCCCTGCTTGCAGAGGTAGAGTCCACAGGGGAGGAGTGAAGGGGAGGCTGGCTTTGTGCTGGGCTCTTCTCATGCATGGACCAGACGGGCTCTGCAGCTGGACTGGTCAGTTCTGCCCCAGGAAACTTGTGCATTGTTTCCATAATGGTATCTATGTCTGCCCTCCTCACACATACAGTGTAAGTCTATCCTCATTATCATCATAACTTGTTCAATGTGCTGACTTATGTGACTTTTCTGGTAAGGAGTCCTGGTGGCACAGTGGTTAAGTGCTCTGTCAGGAATGAAAAGGTCAGCGGTTTGAACCCACCAGTGGCTTCGCGGGAGAAAGATGTGGCAGTCTGCTTCCGTAAAAAACGCGGCCTTGGAAACCCTATGGGACAGTTCTACTCTGTCTTTCAGGGTCGCTGTGAGTCAGAATCATCTCAACAGCAACAGCTTTGTTTTTTCCTGGTTGTGTTTCCGGCGCGTCTTAGTTCCCTAAGGCAGTTGCTGTCGAGTTAATCCCAATTCACGGTGACCTCATGGATTTCAGAGCAGAACTTTCTCCATAGGGTTTTCAGTGGCTGTGACCTTTCAGAAGCAGATCACCAGGGCTTTCTTCCAAGGTGCCTCTGGGGGGGTTCAAAGCGGAAACCTTTCAGTTACTAGTCGAGGGCTTAACTGTTTGCGCCACCCGGGAACCCCGGAGTGTTAGTATATCCACTTAAATTTTTTTTAGTGTTGTTCCTTTGGGGGAGGGGCAGGTGGGCAAAGGGGGTGATCTGTGCCTGAGACACCTGTTGAGTGAGATGTGAGTCACATGACCGTTTCTCTTTCAGGACCTGCGTGTGCTTTATTTCCTAGATGATTATTTCTTTATCTGATGAGAGCCTCTGGCGGGAATTTGTATTAACGTTGGTGAATCTAATGGTGACAAAAGAGAAGAATAATTGCGTTCTGTGCTTTTGCTGAATTCAGGCAGTGGCGTTGCAGGCTGTATGGGGTTTATTGCACTGGGGCCGGAAGACGTGGAAATTTACGGGTTACTGCACATAGGTTTGTGGGGAAACATTAGCTTAGAAGGAAGGGCACAGAGGGGGGACTTTCCTCTGCTTGCAAAGCGTGTCCTCACCAGAGCCGCCAACGCCCGTGGTTCGGTTACCCGCGTAACGGCAATGCACTTTCTGTTTCGAGAGGGGAATCGATGAGGGAGAAACGGCTTTACGCCTGCCTTCCTGAGTGCGGTGTTTCTGTGGGACCGCGAGGGTTTGCGTGCCAAGAGCTGGCCGAGGCAGCCTTGAGGATGAGGCCTGGAAACGGCTCGGCGGCGTCCCTGAGCAGGGGGGGGCTCCGAGCAGTCAGTAACGATCCGATAAGATCGGATAAGAGTCACCGTGAGTGCCTGCGCGTCCCAGGTTCGTAGCTTTTTGTTAGATGCTTTAAAAATGTACGCATCTCCTTTTAAAAGGGAGTCCCTGGGTGGCGCAAGCGGTTAAGTGCTCAACTACGAGCCTAAAAGTTGGCAACTTTAACCCTCCCAGAGGCACCTCAGAAGAAAGGCCTGGCGGTCTGCTTCCAAAAGGTCCCAGCCATTGAACATTCTGTGGGAGCACCGTTCTACTCTGACACACGTGGGGCAGCCATGGGGCAGAGTCGATGCGATGGAAACTGACAAAAACAATTTTATTTATTTCATTTTTTTTTATGGTACTTTAGATGAAGGTTTACAGAGTAAACTAGTTTCTTATTAAACAACTAATACACATATTGTTTTGAGAGATTGGTTAAGAACCCCACGACATGTCAACACTCTCCCTTCTCAACCTTGGGCTCCCGATTACCAGCTTTCCTGTCCCCTTCTGCCTTCTAGTCCTTGTCCCTAGGCTGGTGTGCCCCATTAGTCTTGTTTTGTTTTGTGGGGCTGTCTAATACTTGGCTGAAGGGTGAACCTCGAGAGTGACTTCATTACTGAGCTGAAAGTGTGTCTGTCTGGGGGCCATACTCTCAGGGTTTCTCCAGTCTCTGTCAGGCCAGTAAGTCTGGTATTTTTTTTGTGAGTTAGAATTTTGTTCTACATTTTTCTACAGTTGTGTCTGGGACCCTCTGTTGTGATCCCTGACAGAGCAGTCAGTGGTGGTAGCTGGGCACCATCTAGCTGTACTGGACTCAGTCTGGTGGAGGCCGTGGTAGTTGTGGTCCATTAGTCCTTTGGACTAATCTTTCCCTTGTGTCTTTAGTTCTCTTCACTCTCCATTGCTCCCGAAAGGGTGAGACCAGTGGAGTATCTTAGATGGCTGCTTACAGGATTTTAAGACCCCAGACGCTACTCACCAAGGTAGAATGTAGAACATTGCCTTTGTAAACTGTGTTATGCCAGTTGAGCTAGATGTTCCCCGAGACCATGGTCCCCACAGCCCTCCCCCCAGCAATTCAGACCCTCAGGGAGTTTGGATGTGTCTGTGGAGCTTCCGTGACCTTGCTTTGGACAGTTGTGCTGGCTGCCCCAGCACCAACAACAACAATTTTAAAAGGGAAGCAGTGCTGGTTCTGTGGTAGAATTCACACCTTCCATGTGGGAGACCCGGGTTCAATCCCCGGCCAATGCGCAGCTAGTGCCCGTCTGTCTGTGGAGGCTGCGTGTTGCTATGCTGCTGAACAGGTTTCAGCAGGGCTTCCAGACTATGACAGACTAGGAAGAAAGGCCTTCTGAAAATCCGCCAGGGAAAACCCTATGGATCACAACGGTCTGATCCACAGGGGGTCACGGGATGGCGCAGGCCTGGGCAGCGTTTTGTTCCGTTGAGCACAAGGTCGCCGTGAGTTGAGGCCGACTCCGTGGCAAATGAAACAATTTTAAAGACAGCTCACACGGCAGGTAGGCCTTTGTATTTCTGTTTCACGGAGGGTGAAGCCGAGGCTGAGGGTTACTGATTGCTTGCCCCAAATCACCTGGTCAGTAAGGGGCAGCACACAGCTGCACACCCAGCTACGTCATTGCTGCCTTTGCTACAGCTGTGACGCCGCCCTGCATGGCCTCGACTCGGGTGGCTTCTCGTCCAGGAGGGTTGCAAACGATTTGTGCTCAACCGATAACCTAAAGGTTGGTGGTTCTAACCCACCCGGTGACACCGCAGAATAAAGGCCTGGCTGTGTGCTTCCATAGATATTACAGCCAAGAAAACCCTATGGAGCAATTCTGCTTTAACACACGGGGTCGCCAGGAGTCGGAATCGACTCGATGGCCATGGGTTTGTTTTCGGTTTTTTCGGTGGAGGGGTCAGACGTGCACTTGAGCCACCACATTGAGCTGTGGGATGTGAGTCCCAGAGGCGGGCCTGAAGCCCCCAGGGTCTTGGGTTGTATCAGGTCCAAGAGGTGAATTTTAGAAGCGATTGGGAGACGTTCAAAGCTTTGGAGTTGGTGATCCTTGATGAGAGTTTTGTTGCATTTTCAACTCTTCTATATATTTTTTCAAAGAGTTTTTTCACCCCCTAAGTTATTATTATGGAAAGGCCAGGCAGCATAATAAAAGGAAAAAATCATTGGGTCAAACTTCAGTGCCGCAGACACCGGCTGTGTGACTTTGGTCAAGTCTCTTAATTTTCCCTAAGACTGGTTTCTTCTTCATTCATTCATTTTATTTAACAAGCACGTATGTCGGGCTAGGTTTGTGTTTATTCTAAGTGCTTATAAGTACTCCTTAATTTGATCCACATAACAATCCTACGAATTGCCCACTGTTATTATCCCCATTTCGTAGATGAAGAAACTGAGGCACAGAGAGGTTCAGCAACATGCTGAAGGTCACACAGCTACATGTGGCAAGCTGGGATTCAGACCAAGGCAGCCGGGCTCCAGAGACTACCCTTTGCTGCCTCTTCTCTGATTCCTTTGTTCATCTGCTCATTCAGTTGACGGACATTTAGGTCGTTTCTGCCTTTTGGTTACTGTGCAAAGCACTGCAATGAACACTGGTGTATAGGTTCTTTTTTTTTGGTTCAAAGAATATCGGAGAATTTCAACTGAACACTTTTCTACTTCAGTCCTATTATTTTTCTTGTTGAATTAGCAAAATAAACTAGCATTGAGTTTGTTCTTCTGAGTTGGCTGAGTAAACAGGCTTTATCAATTACCCAGAGCCCTGCTGGCGCAGTGGTGAAGACCTTGGCTGCCAGCCAGAAGGTCGGCAGTTTGAATCCACCAGCCGCTCCTTAGGAATCTTGTGGGGCAGCTCTACTCTGTCCTATAGGGTTGCTATGAGTCGGAATTGACTCAACGGCAATGGGTTTGGTTTGGTTTTATCAATTACCCTGTAATCTGCTTGGTTAAACCTAATTTTCTGTTGCTTTGTGTTTTTTGTAAAGATTCTGACCAGTACAAATACGGCAAGAACCGAGTGGAGGCGGATGCCAAGCTGTTACAGTCGAAAGAGGAGGAGCTGCTGAAGCGGAAGGAGACCCTCCGGAACAGGCTGGCCCAGCTCCGCAAGGAAAGGAAAGACCTGCGAGCCGCCATCGAAGTGAACGCAGGTAGGAGGGCGTGCTTCCGGCCGGCCCGGCGCCCATCTCAGTTCTAGAATCTGCATTTTATCCTGCTTTGCCCGAAGCAGCTGTACTTGAGGCTGTCAGGCTGGTGTGAAAGGCGTGGTTCCGGCTGGCCCGTGCCCATCGCAATTTGAAAATCTAGATTTTCTTCTGCTTTGCCCGAAGGGGCTGTAGCTGAGGCCTTTGTTTGGTCAGAGGACGCCATTCCGTGGAGTGCTGATAGGGGTTTGGGAGCATTGCTTGCAAGCCCAGGGCACGTGCCAACCGAGTCGAGGAAGCAGGCAGGCAGGAGGAGGCCAGGCCTGGCTGGAGACCTGCTGGCCCAGGCAGGCTGGGGCCGGAGGAGCTTTCCCTGCCTCAAGTGCTGACCATGACGATCAGGTCTGGAGGTGAGCAGAGGTCGCAGGAGTTCCTGGTCGCCAGGTGGGGCCAAGCAGCAGGCTGCTCAGCAGGAGGGACACCACAGGGGTTGGTGGCCTTCAGAAGTCCAAAGAAGAGTCCCGGCATGAATAGAAGTTTCCGTTCCTGAGAAGGGACTGGGGAGAGCAGGACAGAGCCTGGGACTTGGAAGGGAGCAGAGGTAGAGCCAGCTGAGTGGGGTACTAGCCCCCAGGGAGGAAGTCAGTAAAAGCACGGGTCTCAGGAAACTGAGCCAGGAGCCGCAACAGTGCCCCAGGGCTGGCTCGGGCATTCCTGCTGGCCCGACCTTGGCCTGAGCCCCGCATGACGGAGGTGGAACTTTAAACGCACGTCGCTTTGGCTCAAGATGGTTCTAAAACAACAGCAAGGTGAACTTTTGGATTCCAGTTACCCTGAGGGGTGTGGATGCAGAGGGGTGGGAAGGGCCAGGTAGGAAACCCGGGTTCCTGACGGTGCTCGCCCACCAAGGTCTGTGCACCTTTCTGGACTCTGCTGATCCCAATGAAAGGCGTGCACTTGGGGTGCAGAGATCAGGAGGAGGAGCAGGCTGGGAGGTCGGGGCGACCCTGCAGGACGAGGTAGGGGGACGCTGGCCTGGGGCTGCTGCGGAGGAATCAAACTCCAAGCCGGGGGAAGTAGAAAGGAGCATTGAGGTCATGGAGACAGAAGTGGAGCGCCTTCCCTGCATTGGTGGAGACGCAGACGGTTAGAGAAGCTTCTGGCCTCGAAACGGAGACGCCCCCGGCCGAGCGAGCGCCGGTCCACATGCACGGGCAGCTAGCCGGCTCTTCTCATCTGTCCAATGGGTGCAGACAATGCTGTTACAAGCTTCAAGTAAAATAGTGACAACGAACGTGCCCTACAGAGAAGTACGGCACCTGGACCACAGGGGCCAGTGAGATGACTCAGGCATAACGAGCATATAAAAAACACCCACTATCGAAAATGATAAAGATCACAGATGACAAAATAGGGACAACGCTAGGAGCCCTAATACATGGCATGAACACAATGCGAAGCATAAGTAACAATGCATAAGCACCAGAAGAGAGACTAGCTAACCGAGAGCTCCTAAAAATCAAACACTTATACTCATCAAAAGACTTCACCAAAAGAGTCAAAAGACAACCTACAGACTGGGAAAAAATTTTTGGCTGCGACAAATCCAATCAGCGTCTAATCTCTAAAATCTGCAAGATACTGCAAAACCTCGACAACAAAAAGACAGATAACCCAGTTAAAAAATGGGCAAAGGATATGAACA